CCCTGCTCAGCCACCGGGGCAGCTGGCCTTGGGCACTCTACCCTCAGCGGACCTGGAGGCCACTGATGGGTATACATCTGCCCACGAGCCTCCCCGTGAGTGTGCTCCGGTGGCCCTGGGTGGACCCGGGGCCTGGCCTGGCTGCAGGGCTGTCCTTCCCTCTCCAGCAGCAGAGCGGCTTGCGAGGTGACTCCCCTGTGGGCGCTGGTGTCCCCACATCCACACCCTGGGCCTCCTCACCCCATGCCAGGCGCCCCCTGCTCTCCACCTGGACTTCCTAGCAGGCTCCACCCCTGGGCACACGACGTCCAGGGGAGGCACTCCAGACCCATGACCTGCAGGGCACAGGCCTGACCCTGGGGCCCAGGGCTGCAGCTCATCAAACCCCAGGGAGGGGGCGGCTGTCCCGTGGGCGGAGGCTGGCCTCCCTGGCAGGCGGGCCCTGGGGGCTCGGCCTTGAGTTCTGCAGATGCTGGGCGCTGGGGAAGGCGCGGCCCCACAGGGTGGATGTCCTGGGTTTGCAGATTCTCGTGGGCTGCTTCTGGTTGCTCAGGACTCGGTCCTGGGCTGGACGGGGTCCTCATTGTGGCTGCCCTGGCGGGGGCCTGGTCCTGAGGTGGGGCAGGGGCGGAGACGGCACCGCCAGCTCCCTGTGCCCACGGTGCCAACGCTGTGCAGGGAGAGCACGCAGCCCGGTGCCCACTGTTTAGAAGACAAAGCTTCGCAGAGCCGGTCCCCTGCAGGGCGGGCAGCGGTCGGGCAGCTTCCCCGCTCCGCCTCACACCCGGTCCTCCCGCCCCGCACCCGGCCACCCGGCCAGGCCAGCGGCCCCAGGGCAGGGGCTGGACGGCAACGACACCGCCCGTGGTCACGCAGCTGCAGGGACAGGCCTTGCCCAGGCCGTTTTCCCCGACTGCTCCGTGAGGAAGGGGGTCTGGCTGTCCCAGGTCCAGGGGAGGAGGCTGAGGCCTGGAGCCGGGCAGCAGGGGGTCTGCACCCAGGACAGCGCAGCCCCAGGCGGGACGGAGCAGGACCCGGCAGAGCCCGGGGCAGAGCCTGCACCCAGCCTGGCCGACCGTCCGCCCCTGGCTTTCCCTCCCTTTCTCCCTGCGGATCAAGGCCACCGCGGGGCACCCCGGGAAGCGTCTCCTCCTCACCACGAGGCCGTCAGGGCCGCCGCTTCCCCAGTCGCTGGGTTTTAATACCCGGGCAGTGAGGTCAGGGCCGTCGCGCAGGGCCGCGGCTTCTGTGCCAACCCCACCCTAGTCCCTTGGCCACAGGCTCTGTCCTCACTTGGAGACAGACGCAAGGAACTCATGTCACCGGCCCTGTGAAGCCACACAGTGCGGGGGGGGGGGGGTCTTCCTCCAAGGTAGCCACTGTGACCAGCCCTGCAGAGGGATGGGACCCGAGCGGCCGAGTGGCCAGACTCTGAATCAGCCAAGGTTTCCAGAGGCTGCTGTGACAGGTGGACACACCCACCAAGAGGCCTACACCATCTCGCGGGCTCGGCTCAGGGGCGCAGGCCTGCAATCCCAACAACTCTGGAGGCTGAGGTAGGAGGATCATACATGGCTGAGGCTGGCCTCAGCAATGTTGAAAACGGGCCATGGGCTGGGGCTGGGGCTCCGTGGCAGAGCGCTTGCCTAGCGCATGTGAGGCCCTGGGTTCAACCCTCAGCACCACAAAAAAATAAAATAAAATAAACCAGAGGTACTGTGTCCACCTACAGCTAAAGAAAAAGATCTTAAAAAATAAAACAAAAGGGGCCGTGGGGGCTGGGTGGACCTGGCCTGCAAGGCCCCTGCTGCAAGGACAGGAGAGCAGCCCACACCCGCTGCCCCGGGGTCCTCTACCTGGGGTCAGAAGTGGGAAGCCCCCCGCTCAGGGCGGCAGGAAGCTCCCACAGGTGCCACGGTCCTCGATCCTCAGCTGCAGCCGCAGCCTCCTTCAAAGGGCCCTGGGCCCCTCCACCCCGTGTCCCTCTTCACGTCTCCCCTGACCTGACCGAAGGACCCTGTGAAGACACGGGCCCCTGGGATCCGGGACCACCCCCACCTCCTGACCCCGACCCAGTCACACCTCAGGGCCTCCAGCCTGCCACGAGGCCCCCTGTCAGCTGGTCTTCGAACAGACAGGGACGCCCTGGGGGACAGTCACTCTGCCTACCACAAGCCATAAAGAAACCGGGCAGCCTCCAAACGCCACGGGTCGGGCCGCTCTGGAAGGCTGGGGGCCGGAGCAGGGCAGGCTGGGGACAGGGCAGCTGGTGGCCCCGCCCACCAGGGCCTCTCCGCAAGCTCGCAGCCCCTGCAGGTGTCTCCCCAAAACACCAGGCCCGTGCACGGTCACGAAGCCACTGCCAATTGTGGGCAGCAGCCCTGAGTGGGGTCCCCTGCCTGAGTCGGGGTGGCGGCCTCTGTCCTGCACACTGGGGAGGGGGAAGGAGGGGGCGGGGTAGCAGGGGGGCAGGGGGAGGGGTAAGGCAGGGGCAAGGGGCGGGGCAGGGTAACAGGGGGTGGGGCAGGTGCAAGGGGAGGGGCGCAGCAGGGGCAGGGGACAGGGGGCAGGGGGTGGGGCAGGGGGACAGGGGGCGGAGCTGGGCAGGGGCAGGGGGCAGCGAGGGGCGGGGCAGGAGGGGTGGACAGTAATGGTGCCACTTTCTGACCGTGGCGTCTCCTGGGTGGTGTCGGGGCAGTGGGAGCCCCTGGGTGGAGCATGGTCTGCAACTCTCGCTCATGGTTCAGAAAATGAGAGCGACACCGGGTGCAGCGTGCGGTGGGCCCTGGGCGGGAGCCCACTGTGACTCCTGCCCAATTGAGCTTGTTCCAAAGGGAACAGCGGCCACCTGGAGTCGGTGTCCTCAGAGTCCGGGACGGTGCCCGGCTCAAGGAGCCTGGTTGGGGTGGAAGGGCAGGTGCTGCGTGGCCTTGGACCTGGGAAGAAGCCAGCCGGGATGCCGGTGTCCCTGGCAGACGTGACTGTGGGCACTGCACACCAGCCTGCCTCTTGTTTCCCTGCAAGAGTGCAGCTTGCAGGAGCGGCCTAGTCCATCCCAGGCCTGCTGGACACTCTCATGTGGGCTCAGCAAGGGACATTTATAGCCAGAGAGGGGGAGAGGAGGGAGCCCAGAGGCCCCCTGTGGCCCTGGCCAGGAGCTGGTGGGTCCACCACCCTTGGGCCCAGCCTTCCCCGCTCTGACCACCAGGTGTCTCCCTCTATGCTGGGCACAGGAAGCGGCTTTCATGATGCTCCTGAAGGGTCTGAGACCTGGTGACCTGCCCTCTCCCCACTGGGTGTCCCACAGCCCTGTAGGGTAGGAAGGTCCAGGACGAGGGTCTCTGCCACCCCGTGGTCCTCAGCTGCCTCGTGGTCTCCGCTGCGGTGCAGACCCTGCCCCGCGTGGATGGGCCCCGCAGTCTGTCCTTGGCCTGAGAAGCTGCGGCGTCCAGGGAGAGCCCCAGGACACAGAAAGAGACTGACTTTAGGTGGCGGCTCATGTGACATGCAGGACTCCCGCCAGGCTGGCGCAGGGGCACCCCGCAGGTCCTTGGTGCTCAGAGGCCCAGACAGAGCCCTGGATCCTGGGAGCTGGACCTGCACTTGGGCAGTCCACACACCCGGGGCAGGCGTCCCTGTGAGGGGCCGAGTGTAGGAGGGGCAGGTGGCCCCTGCAGCCCCGGGCAGAGCGGGCGGGGCTGTGGGTGGTTTGCCTTCTTTGTCCTGTGTCTGCGTCACAAACTCACCCCAAAGGGGCACTTCAGGCCACGGGTGGGCCTTCGCCCCTGTCCAGGCACCGGAGTCTGACGGGAGGTGAGGGCAATGTGCTCCTGCGCAGCCTCCCGGGAGGCGCCTCCCCTCCTCCGCGGCTCCGGATCCCTGGTGGTGCCGCCTGCCAGCTCCGGGCTCCGCTGCTGCGGTCACATGGCCTCCCCTGGACGGCGGTGCTTCCTCTGCTTATAAGGACATGTCCCTGCACAGGGGCCCCTGCTCCAGATGACTCACCAGGGCCCCTCCCTTCTGCAGAGACCCTGTTTCCAAATAAGGTCATGTTCAGAGGCCTGGGGTGGACATGCCTTTTGGGGGGACACTGTTCTGCCCAGCACAGTCCCCAAAAGTAAAGGGAGCTGAGAAGGGGAGAGGGACCATGGGGCCAGCGAGGCAGCCCAGCCAGGGGTGCACAGGGAGCTGACCAGGAGCCCGCAGCGGGGCTCTGGGACTTGAGCCTCTGTGCCGCTGACCCTAGGGCCCCTCCTTCTGCGTGATCGTAACCCTCCCCCGTCACGGGGACCTGACCCACCAAGGACAGGAGCTGCTGGGGGGCGGCGCGGCCTCCCCCTCCTGCACCCCACTCCGCCAGCTCCCGCCACTGCTGATGTTTCGCTTTCTTTTAAGCAAAGTGGACACGTGTTGCAGTGCCTGGACCCCGTGGATGGCCCCCGTGGACCGTCCTCTGCACTGCACTCAAGTCTGCGTGACGAGTAGACCCCACTTAGAACGAGGGAACCCTGGACCCGTGGCACCCGGCCAGCGCCTTCCTGTCCCCCCACGTCCATCTGGGACCTCAGGGCCCCCAAACCTCCCCCGTGCTCTTTCTCACACACCCTCCCGAGTGACCAGTGTCCTCAGACCCCGCCCCCCTGAGTATGACCCCTGGGGAAGGCCAGCAAGTAGGAAGGGTCCTGGCCCCCTTGACCCCACAAACAGGGGTCCTGCAGCCTCCCGGGGAACTCAACAGCTCAGCCACGGGCCCCCATCTTCCGGGCAGTGGGCAGCCCCCGCCCATGCCAGCTGGGAAGCTGGCCCCTAGGGAGGGGTTGCCAGGCGACCGGTCGCGACTGCTCCCAGGGCCTGCTGGGTGGCCACGTCACCTGGCAACCAGGTAGCAGCGTCCCTGGAGCCCAGGCCCCACAGCTGCGCCCAGGCCTGCCTGGCTTCTCTTGGGCCTGGGGGACCCCTGGGGCCCATCCTCATTCCCAGAGATAGGACAGCAGGCGCCGGTCAGAATGAACATCATCTTCTCCAGGTGAGTGGCCTGCGCTGGCCCGGCAGGGAGGGGACAGAGGGTGCTGCTCAGGTCCTGAGGCCCTGGAAGAGGAGGGGAGTGGGGGCTGCTGGGGGGGCCTCCCTCCCCCTCCCCCCCCCCCCCCCCCCCCCTCCCTCCCCCCCTCCCCGGGGCCCAGGGCAGGCAGGGCTCCTGACCATGGAGGCTCCAGACCCCACCTCGGTCTGCTTCCCGCTGCGCTCTGTAGACCTGGGCAGCCGGGTTCACAATGTCTGTCCGCTGTGTCCCTCACTCTTCCCCACCTGGACCTCTTCCTGCCTCCAGCCCCCACTGGCCCTGCCACCCCCTCCCCCCACTGGCCTCCCTTTCCCTCTGGCCTCCGGGGACCCGCCCTGTGGGCCTCTTGGAACCTCCAGCCTTGCTCAGGATCTGACCCGCCCACCCAGCGGGCCCAGGAGTGGCACCTCTAGCTTGTCCTAGGTGGCGCCCAGCTGGAGGCCCAGGGTCACACCTGGAAGACAAGAAGCTGCAGCCCCTTGTGACCTCTAGCGGGTCCTTTGTCCCTTGGCCTCAGCGCCCTTGATTTTGAAGTGGTGACGGTGGCACCTTAGTTACAGGGTGACCCTAGCAGGGCACTTGGGAGCTCGGACTCGGGGGATGCAGGCTGCTCCTGGGGGCTGGGGCTTCCGGGCATGGCTGGAGGGACACAGAGGGGCAGCCTGGGCAGAGGGGACAGGGAAGCAGCTGGAGGGAGGTGGGAGGGCGGAGGGGCCCCAGCGCCTGGTGGGCACAGGGACAACAAGGAGAGGGCCGTCAGCGAGGCCAGACAAGGAGACGTTCCGGGGCGGGGCAGGGGACGAGGGCAGAGACTGTCCCACCTGACGCTGTGACAGGGACGCGCCACTCTGCGCATCTTGGACCCCGAGGAGCTTGCAGCGCCTGGGTGACGCCTCACGCCTGCTGTGGGCCATGTCCACATGCTGTGCCCTGTGGCCCCACGCTGTGGCCAGCGGGCCTGGCCGGGGAGGAGGCTGGGTGGGCAGGGGTGGGGGAGCACTGCCTTCTGCTCTCCCAGAGACCTAAACAGTCCCCAAAGTCAAAAACAAAAATCAAAAACCAAAAAGCAGACCCCCCAGTAGGTTCAGAGAAGGGAGAGGAAGCCTGGGAGCCGGGTGGGGACGAGGCCCCTAGCCAGGCCTGGGAGCAGAGGGTGCCCCAGGGCACAGCCCCTCGAGGGCCCAGGGCAGGGCCAGTGGGGAGCAAGCCCGTTGGCATCCCTGGCCCTGCTGACCGGCTGGGTGGGCAGGCGGGTCTCATTCCTCCCTGGGCCTGCTGCCCCCGAGCGCCACGCTGGGCCTGGTGCCTGGATGGCGCTGGCCTCACAGGAGGGACAGGCTGCGGTGGCTCCTGTGACCGTGACCCTAGTCTGGTCCTGGTGCACAGGGGTGCCGCCCTGGCCCCGCCGGGCATTGCCGCCCAGCACAGCCCCTCGGGCCCTGCCTCCCCAGGGACAGCCAGGTGAGGCTGATGGACAGCACGGTGACCAATGCTGAAAGGTACTTCGGGCAGTTCTGCTCGCTGCTGGCCGCCTACACTCGCAAGACGGCCCGGCTGCGGGACAAGGCCGACCAGCTGGTCAAGCAGCTGATCGACTTCGCCAACACCGAGAGCCCCGAGATGCGGGCCACCGTGAGGGACTTCGCGGAGGACCTGGCCCAAGTGCAGGACTACCGGCAGGCCGAGGTGAGGGGTCCCGGCCTGTGGCCAAGGTCAGGAGTGAGGGCTGGGACCTGACGGCTTGGTGCCTCCTGAGGCGTCCCCAGGACTGGACACTGCACCATCCCCTGCCCGGGCCACACAGCTTTCAGGACGAGGGTTGAGGTGCACAAGGGCTGAGCCAGGGGTCCTGGAAGCCAGGCCCGGGGCCCCAGGGCCTGGAGAAGGGACAGAAGTCCCGGGGGACAGAGGGCCAAGGCGGCCAGCGGGTATCTGGGAAGTAGACTCTGCCACCCAGGGGCTCTCGTGAGCCGTGGACAGCGCGAGAAGGTTTATGCAGGGAAGGTTTCTGTTGGCGGAGCCAGAGGACTCGTCCTGGGCCGCGAGGACAGAGGGGCCTGTGGGTGACGAGGCCCGGCAAATGCAGCTCCCTGCGGAGTGTTCTGAGGACACATGCAGACTGTCCCCAGGAGAGCGCTGGCTGCGGGCTTCTCACCAGCCGGTCTGACTTCACCTGGCAGCCGGGCAGCGCCTGGACCACTGTCCCTATCCAGGGGGAAAGAGCAGGGAGGCCGAGCCCGGGGCCCGGAGCCCGGGGCCAAGCTCCTGGAGCCCACGCGCCCCGAGCCGGGCCACAGTAGGGCACTGCCCCCCCCAGCGGTTCTGCAGCAGAGACGCTCCAGGCCTGGAGGAGGACGTCATCTAGCTTGGAGGGTGTCCACTCAGTCTGTCAAGCTCCGCAGGCGTCTCAAAGGCACAGAGAGAGGACTGGCCGCTGCATGGAGGGGCAGGGGAGTCCGCCCCTCGTGGCGCTTGGGAAAGAAGTCCTTTCAGACTGGTGTTCGCCCCACCGACGGTCAGCAGGGCTGGTGGGGCTGAGGCTCGGTGGGGATTTGACGCCTCTGGCCATCGGGCAAGCCTGGCTTTCGGGGGGCCGTGAGCTCCGGTGCTGGGGACCGAGATGGCAGGCCGGGGATTCCTGCCGCCACCCGCTGCCTCCGCTGTAATCCCCCAGGCCACGGGGCCTCCTGAATCAGGGTGGCCCCCGGGGGCTCCTGTGCCCACCCCGACCCCACCCCCTGCTGCTTGTGACCCCAGCAGTGTCCATCCCACACTTCGCCGCGGGCCGGGCTCCGGGCTCTGGCTGGGGTGACCCCTGCTCCCCTCCCCCTGTCCTTCCTGCTCGGCCCTTGTGGAGGAGGCTGCAGTTTCCAGCCCTGGACAGAGCGGGGACAGTGGGGTGGTCTCCACGCACCTGCCTTCATGTCCCCGGCCACCTCGCTGCATACTGAGAGGCTGCGCGGCGGACCCTGTGTCTCCACGCTTCCTGCCCTCCCACGGGCCAGAGCCCCCGAGGCAGTTTGGGGATCTGAAATCACACTGGGCCCTGGCGTAGGGAAGAGCTGGACTGAAGTCCTCTCTCTTCCGAGCCTTGACTCTCAGCGTAAGTTCTGTCCCCAACACGAGGCTCCTTGCCACCTGCGCAGTGGTGCAGAGATGGGGGACAGCTGTGGCCTCTGGCCCCTGCCCGATGGGCACCCTCGTGACTTCCACGTCAGGCTTGGTCTTCCTGAGGGCCTCCCCATCCACTGACCTGCCATAGAGTCCTGGGGGCCAGTCATTTCACTGGTGAGGACAGGGCACAGTGGGACCAGCCACACTGCAGAGTCCTTGGTGGCGGGGCCAGTCCCCAGCCCTGGCGGTGCTCACTGCCCTCAGAAGGTGGGGGCGTCACCCCAGGCAGCTCTGGGGTGCAGACGGCACTCCACAAACGCCAGCCAGGGTGGCCAGTGTCTGGCTCTGATGGCCACCTGCTCCCCAGGTCGAGAGGCTGGAGACCAAGGTGGTCATGCCCTTGAAGCTGTACGGCGCCCAGATCAAGCAGACCCGGGTGAGCCAGGGCCCCCTGCGGCGGGTGGGGCTGGCCCTCAGGGCCCCGGGAAACACCCTCGACTTTTTTTAGGCCGAGATCAAGAAATTCAAACGTGTCCAAAAAAATGAGATCAAACAACTGGAGAAACTGGAGAAGCTCAGGCGGAAGTCCCCCTCCGACCGGCAGATGATCGTATCCTTCCTCGGCGCCGGCCTGGGGCTCAGGCAGGACCCAGGCGCCCGCTGGGGTCTTCTGCGCCCTGGGCCTGCCGGGCAGGGGCTGCAAGGGGTGGCCACCCCACGGGCTGCTGGACCTCCCCTTGGCTCCTTAACTGCCCCTTCTCAGTCCCAGGTGAGTGTCGCTCGTGAGCCGGGCGGGCAGAAGCGCAGGCAGGTAGACCTCGGGAAGCGCAGGTGAGCCTCACCTGGGCAGAGGCCGGCCGTGCAGGGGTCAGCATCAGGGGCCAGAGCCGCAGGGCCCAGCCAGGCGGAGGGACACCAGGCGCCCTCTGTTGCCCTGCCCTGCCTGGTGGAGAAGACGGGGTCGGCCAGGGCTGGTGGAGGGCTGGCCACCCGCGTGCCCTTCTTGTCACCAAGTGAGTGACCTCGCAAGACCCCTATGATGGGTGCAAGTCGGATCCCCCACCCCCGGGGCCATTGACCCCCAAGGACATTTTTCTGGGGAGGCATTTGGTGGGTGGGACTGGAGGGTCTCTGCATGAGGTAGATCCCTGCTGTGGTGACAAGTGGCCTCAGATGTCCCAGCTGAACTGGCACAAACGCCCTCCTTACTGTGCCCTGGCTGCAGAGATGGGCGCAGGGCCAGGGGGACCCCAGTCCTGGACTGCACAGTGCCCAGAAGCCCCGGGTCCCTTGGCT